TCGTGAGCCGAGTGGTCCTTCGGCATCATGGCTTCGCTTGGAGGCTCGCTGGGTGTTGTTGCTGTTGCTGCTCCGTCGTTGTCTGAGCGTTGATGAGAGCAGAGCTCGAGAGCAAGAGGAACACAGTGCGGAAGTACATGTTGAGTCGAGTGGGTCGAAGCGAGACAATCGAGATCTGAGCTCTCACCTCGTCGGCAAAAACGACGACGTGCAGGTCACCTCTGATCGGACATGAGCCATGGTGATTGATGGGTCGCTGACACTTGTCGACCAGCGATGGCTTTGGACCACTTGGCTACGAGATTCTGTCGAGTGGCACCTATTGGATTTTGCACTTGCACCGATGAAGCCGACGACGATCTTTGCGACGCTCTGTCTCTTGGCGGTGGCCGCTGCCCAGAGCAACCCGCCGCCGACGGAAGCTGACATGCCCAAGGACAAGGAGATGCAAGATGAGTACGAATGGTACGGCGGGCATGAGTGGTGCCGCCGCCATTGCCGCTGGCATCCGGGGTTTGGCACGCGCTGCTTTTGGCGCTGCTGGTAGTTGCGTCGTAGCGTGCTGGTGGTAACCAATACTTCAACAGACAACACCTTGGCTGCCGGTCGATTGCGTCTTGCAGGGATGCTACCACGAGACGAGGCAAGTAGACGGTGCGGGAGCTTGATGAACGATACATGAATGGGTAATACGCTGCATTCGTCCTACGTCGTATGAGGTCTCTTATTGATTTACTCTAAAACATCCTGAATCAAATGCGACGTCTGCGTCGTGTGTTTGAGGATGTAGTCGCACACCATGAGCGGTGGGTGCTTGGACAGCGGGCTATCTCCTGGTGGCTGAATTGGGAGCTGTCCGAGCATGCACATGCGGCGACAGCATTTTCCGTCCGGCAGTCGCTCGACCACAAATCTAAACGTCTCAACCATAAACGTCACAAATCAAAAGTGAAAGCTTCGTACACGGCCGTGTGGTTGCCAATGTAGAGTCCTGGCGGCGGCGGGTGCAGTGCGTCTTCAAGGAACGTGCGCATAACAATCACGACGCGGTCCTTCTCGACAACTCGCTTCATGCCGCAGAGCATAAAGAGGTACGGCGATCCATGGCTGAGGTATCCGACGTCTTGCACGTAAGCTGCGTTGTCGCCATACCTCTCAAGAATCTAGTCGTCCCAACGTCAACACACGCTTTTGTAGCCTTGCGTACCTGGATGTTGATGAACGGAATGCTGCCGCGGTCGCTGGCTTCGCACCAGAGCGACCAGTACTTGTCGGCGCTCGCCACAAAGTCCATGTTCAGAATACTCACGCTCTGAACGTCGAGAACGATCGAATCATCGGTCTCGTTGGTCTCGAGCGCAATCGAATTGTGGCCATCCGGCGCGTCGAGAAGTCCTTTCCGAAGCAAAATCGAATCGACTTGGCTGTACGCATGGTCCATCATCGCGCTAAACGTCGCTTCCCGTGCCTTTGGGTCGGACGGCATCTTGCGCAGCTTCCAGTCGACGACGTCGATTGTCGGAAAGCTCTACGGAACGAACTCAGACACAGGATGCGCATACTGCCACGTACGAGGAGTCGGGGCCGCTTGACGAGGAGCTGGTCCAGCGCCGTCGCGAGCTTGAGTTGGTCCTCGAGCGCACGCTTGAGTCGCTTGTTTTCCATCGCGGCTTCGCACGCGTACGCGCGCTGGTTCTGGGCAGCCTTTTTCCATGTCGAACTCGTCGCGAGCTCGACCGACTTGACCTGGCGGAGGACGTTGAGTTGCGACGTGAGCGTCTCGACTTGCTCGCGAAGGTAGTCGCGCTCGTCCTTTTGCCGCTTGCGGTACCGGTTCTGCCGCGTCTCGGTCGACGCGTCGTCGTCGGTCACGAGCAGCCGACCGAGCGACGGTAGGCCCAAGAGGATGTCGTCGGCGTTCTCGATGTGCGGCGGCAGACCCATCGCGGCTGGCGACTCTAATGGTGCCAAGGATGGGCTCACCTCGGCGACAGCCGGCGGGAAGGCGTCGTCTGGGAGGCAGGTCAGTTCGCCCAGCCCATCAGCCTCCATCGTCGACTCCTGTCCAGCTTGAAAAATAGCCCGAAAAAATGCGACGTGTGATTGGCTCAAAAATAAGCGTTTGTGATTGGTCTGTTTTCGCGGGGTTTTTAGCCCGTCGAATGCTCTCGTGCGTCGTGGAATTGTTGACCAATTCCCGTGAGGTATCAGTGGATACATGTTGTCAATTGTACATCAAACCCTTCGGCCGTTTCGATAGTAGAGAACGCGAGTAGAGAC